TCACTGAAAATGTCGAGACAGTGTGTGACTGCAATAAAAAAGGCCAATGCTATGCTGGGGATTATTAGGAAGGGTATTGAAAACAGATCAGCCAATATCATAATGCCCCTATATAAATCAATGGTGCGACCTCATTTGGAATACTGTGTGCAGTTCTGGTCACCACACCTTAAAAAGGATATTATAGCTTTGGAAAAAGTGCAGAAAAGGGCAACTCGAATGATAAAAGGGTTGGAACACTTTCCCTATGAGGAAAGGTTAAAGCGCTTAGGGCTCTTTAGCTTGGAGAAACGACTGAGGGGTGACATGATTGAGGTTTATAAGATTATGCATGGGATAGAGCAAGTAGAGAAAGAGGTACTTCTCTCCCTTTCTCACAATACAAGAACTCGTGGGCACTCCATGAAATTGCTGAGCGGTCGGGTTAGAATGGATAAAAGGAAGTCCTTCTTCAACCAAAGAGTGATTAACACATGGAATTCACTGTCACAGGAAGTGGTGTCAGCTACAAGCATGGACGGCTTCAAAAGGGAATTAGATAAGCATATGGAGCAGAGGTCCATCAGTGGCTATTAGCCTCAAGGTATAGATAGGGACTCCGGGGCAAGTGATGCTCTGTCTTCTTGGTGCTTGGGGGGGATAACAGTGGGAGGGCTTCTAATGTCCTGGCCCCACTGGTGGACCTCCTGATGGCATCTGGTATTTTTGGCCACTGTGTGACAGAGTGTTGGACTGGATGGGCCTTTGGCCTGATCCAATATTGGCATCTCTTATGTTCTCATGAGGTACACTTGAAAAATTTGCTGAGTCAAGTGGCACAGCCCTCTCATAGGACAGTAGCAGTTTTTACCAGGTAGTTATTTGAACAGGAACTCACTGTGGTGAATATGCTTTATGAACTACAGCGAGGTCCATTTTGTTTTGGGGCTTCTTTCAGCGGGCTGTTTTTGGCATTTAACATTTAAATCCCTAGATTTGAAGCCTTTAATTGTGGGCTGGGATGGGGGGGGTTAATTTGTTTATTTTAAATTGCATTTTCTTGATGATCTGTGGCATTTTAGGTTAATTTTGTAAACCGCCTTGATAATCTTCTAGGCTGAGAGGAGGGATGGATGTTTTAGAAATAAGCTTTAAGCAAAGAAATAAATAAATGGCTTAGGTCCAGAGTATTTGGATGGCCTGCCCAGGACTTGTGGCCAGGGTAGGTTAGTGGTTAGAGTGCCAGATTAGTAGTGGGGAGACCTGACTTCAGATGCTTCTGAGTCAAGAAGTTCACCGGGTGATCTTGGGCCACTTACTGGTCCCTCATTGTAACCTCACAGGAATCACAAAGTCAAACTGAATCTGAACCGGTTTAGAGAGGCTTTCTCACTGAACCCTTATGTAAAATATCTTGCTTGCTTGTAAGTGAACCACCATGGCTATTTTGGGGCAGGAACGCACAGGAACGGAGTTCCGGCTGGCTTCAGAGCTGGCCACGCCCACTACAGCCGAAACCTCTGCGTGTGTGGCTACAGAGAGAAGACCTGGAGAGCGACACCCCTCCCAGCGATTCTGAGGTGGGCAGGCCAGGGGGCCCTTTGAAAGGATCGGGGAGGCATTTAAATGCCTCCCCGTGCCTTCCCCGGCCTGTCCAAGGGCCAAATTGCCCAGGCACCTCACAGCCGCAGGGCGCCCGGACAAGCCAAGGGAAGGCATGGGGGTGTGGCCTAATATGCTAATGAGCTGTGGTGTTGGGTGTGGCCTAATATGCCAATGGCTTTCTGTTGTTGGGCCTATTATGCTTTTTGACTTGTTCATTAATGATCTGGAGTTGGGAGTGAGCAGTGAAGTGGCTAAATTTGCGGATGATACGAAGTTGTTCAGGGTGGTGAAAACCTATTAGCCTATTATGCTAATGAGTTCCTGCTGGGCTTTTTCTACCAAAAAAGCCCTGTGAACCGCTAAGCACAAACTGGTCCCCATATCAGTAGTTTGGTGCACAAGTGATTCTGCTGAGGGACGGTGAGAGGTGAGTTAGCTGAGAAGAGGAGGCGGCAGAGCGGGAGAGATGGGAAGGCAAGGCCTTGGGGGGTGACGGGAGCTCAGCTCAGGAACTGGGGACTGAGGCAAGTGGTACTTAGAAAAGGAAGGAAAGAGAACTCCCTTTGAAAGATGGTTAGCTGTTTTAAGCTACTTTGGGGGAATAACTGCTCTGTTACGTTGCCCCAGGCCTGCTGGGCAGGGACTGAAACTTAGTGTTTACCTCTGACTACTTGTCAGCGTACACTCAAGTGGTTAAGACGCTGAACTGCAGGCTGTGGAAGGTCAGTAGTTCAGCAGTTCGAGACCCGGGTGAGCCGCATGACGGAGTGAGCTCGCATCTCTAGTTCCAGCTCCTGCCAACCTAGCAGTTCGAAAGAAAGAAATTGCAAGTAGATAAATAGGTACCACTTTGGTGGGAAGGTAACAGCGTTCCGTGCACCTTGGTGTTTAGTCATGCCGGCCACATGACCACGGGAACGTCTTCGGACAGCGCTGGCTCTTTGGCTTTGAAACGGAGATGAGCACCGCAACCCTAGAGTCGGACTCGACTGGCTTTCGAGCAAGGGAACCTTTACCTTTACTTGTCTAAGAGGAGACTTCCTTCCTGAAATAGAATAATTGCATATTGCTTGTTTGTTTGTTTAGGTATGGAGGCTCACCAAGCAGAAATGACTCGCAATGCTCCCTCTAAGCTGTGGAGACTTGTGAGCAAACATTCTACTTTGTGAGCTACTGGCATGAAAGTTGGGAGCGAGCAGATTTGGCGAGTACGGCATAAATTAGTTTGCTGTGGAGCCATCCTTTCTGAGCTGAGACAAAAATGTGAGAGCCGGAGACTAAAAAACTGTGAGCTAACTCACACTAACTCAGCTTAGAGGGAACACTGGAAATGAGTGATTTTTAAAAACTATATACAGTACAGGCAAAGTATTAATTTAAACTAAAGCCTAAAAAAGAAAAGGAGTTCGGACATGATGATGTTTTTGCATGCAGTTCAATAACCGGATTATGCACCAGGAAATTTCAAACAGTTTCTATCCTAGAAGAAAAGTCTCTTCTTTTTGCAGGCCATAGGGAGGCCCCAGCAGTTCATAAAACAACAGGCTTACGATTGGTAATCTTACATTGTTGTTACATTGTTGTTTTTATTGTATTGTTTTGACTTAGTGAGCCGTTTCCAGCAGGCCTCTGGAAAGGCAATGTATAACATGGAGGAATTTCAGACAGGCGATATATTCCGGAAGAGGAACAGTTTCTAGTCTGTCATTTCAGACAGAACCGTTTGAGAACCGGTTCCCTTCCGGAATATATTTGTCATTTCATACACAATCGCTTCTGTCTCGTTTAGGAAACGGGGCTGAAGCGTTTTACCTGTCAACCGCTTCCAAGTACTCCTCAGTTTCCTCTCCCGGTACTGATGCTCTTTTCCCCGCCGTTTTTCGGCCGCGTGGGCGATCTCCGGCTTTTTTTTTTAACGTTTGCTTTATAGCATTATAGCGCTATAGAGCTATAACGGAATCATAGGCGTAATCTTTGTGGGGGCGGCAGGGCGTGAGCCCCCACCGAAATTTTCAGGAAGGTGCTCAGCCTCCCCCGGGAGCCACCCTTGCTCCTAGCAAAGCAATGCCTCTGTCCCAGCCCCAGCCCCCCCCACCCGGGAAATTGGAAAGTCTACACCCTTGAACGGAATAGCATTATATGAATCCCATTGGAATGCATGGAGTGTTTTGTTATACTGCTATAGCGCTATAGCGCTATAAAGCAACCGTTTTTTAAAAAGCCGGAGATCGCCCGCACGGGCGAAAAACGGCGGGGGAAAAGCGGGAAAAAGTGGTGCAGTCTGAAATGGCAAACCGCTTCAGATCCAGCTCTTTACCGGAAGGGGAAAGCCGTGTGTGAAATGGCAGCCCTATACCGATTCACTTCAAAACGGATCATTACCGGCTTGAAACCAGGTGAAACTGGGTAATGTGAAATTCCCCATGCTTTTTGACTGAGCTCCCTTTCCTGTCCATTTTGTAGCCTTGCTCTGCAAACGATGCACATGATATTATTCTTCATGAAATGTTTCTGAAACCTTTTCAAATGGTTTGAGCACTAAATTGCTTTGTAATGTCAATGCCTGGACTGGAACTGAACTGGAGAGATTAATAGTACTGTGGAACTTGAACTGGAACTCAACTCAGCTGTGTAATGATTTGACTCCTCAGGTGAAACCATATATGTCACCTTGGGGAAGGCTAACATAAACATGTGACTGATGGATCATCTGGAGGCCACATTCTCTGATGTGAGGGTGTGAAGTACTGCAACAGGGCCTGACACTGGAGCGGCAGTTGGCCCTTTCTGACTGCGTTTCCAGAGCGCCTTTGGAACTAGGCAGTTCTATTGCTTATTTTCAGGACTTTTTGCTACCAAAAGCTGCTGTATGAGGCTTTTTTTTGGGGGGGGGGAATTCCTATATTATTGATGTTATAGATTATAAATTTACTGCTTTTTGTTAGTTGTTTTGAACTGATATTTAGTAAACTCTTACTGTGTTTCAGGTTTTTTTTTAATATATAGTTAACTCTCCTAAAGAGGAGAGAATTTTATTGCTTTAAATTTTTCAGAAAAAAGGAAGGGTATATAGCGGGATTAAGAAAAGTGGTGAGTGGTATCTTTGTTAGTAAATTAATCTTCTATTAGTAACAATAAGTTCTTCAGCTTCTTCTGTGTTTGACTGATCGTCTTTCATCTTAACCTGTAAAAAACAAATTTTTTAGTAATGTTAATAGAGTCCTTTTGGGTTAGTACAGTCCTTTAATGCGCTCTCCGAATTACTGTGTTTCAGTTTGAATGCTCTCAAGAGTAGAAAACTTCTGGGATATAAATTATCTGAACAAATGTTTGAAAGTTTGAAAAGCATCCATGTACAAGTAGCAGTTTCTCATCTTTTGTGGCTCACCCGTATATTCCTTGTTTGCTCTGTGTAGAAATTCATTGAATTTGAAGATGCGCTGGAACAAGAGAAGAAGGAACTACAGATACAGGTTGAGCACCTTGAATTTCAAACACGGCAGTTAGAGCTGAAGGCCAAAAACTATGCAGATCAGAGTAAGTGGAAGCAACGCATAGGTGTGACTACAATCCTGTGTCTTGTCCACAAGATTGAATGGGACTTTGCTATGGCTGTGACTGCTGATGAAGAATACAGATTGCGTATGCATTTCTAATTCAGTCAATGTGAATTTATGCTTGGTCTTTTTAACAAAGTATTGGGGGCAGTGGTAGAAGTCCAAGATAATGGCCTTACATCCAATCTGCATGCAATGGATAGGCAGGAAGGATAGCTGTCATACAACTTGTTGCCTTTGAAAATGAGAATCAATGTCACTGTGAAATGATCCACATGGAGGCAAAAAAAAAATTATCCAAAATTTGTATTCATGGGGGACTGAATTGGCAGTGGCTGACGAGTAAAGAGATTCTGGCGTGATGGTGGACAACGGGATGAAAATATTGACTCAGTGTTAGCTAGGGATTATTGGGAAGGAGATTGAAAACAAATAAGCCAGTACTGAAATGCCTCTTTGTGTATTTCTGTGACGCTGCCACTTTTAACATAAGAACATAAGAGAAGCCAATGTTGGATCAGGCCAATGGCTCCTCCAGTCCAACACTCTGTCACATAGTGGCCAAAAATACCAGGTGCCATCAGGAGGTCCAGCAGTGGGGCCAGGACACTAGAAGCCCTTCCACTGTTGCCCCCCCCCCAGCACCAAGAATACAGAACATCACTTGCTCCAGACCGAGAGTTCCTATCTATACCTTGTGACCACTGATGGACCTCTGTTCCATATGTTTATCTAATTCCCTCTTGAAGCCATCCATGCTTGTAGCCGCCACCACCTCCTGTGGCAGTGAATTCCATGTGTTAATCACTCTTTGGGTGAAGAAGTACTGCCTTTGATCTGTACTAACCCGACTGCTCAGCAATTTCATGGAGTGCCCATGAGTTCACGTATTGTGAGAAAGGGAGAAAAGTACTTCTTTCTCAACCTGCTCTATCCCATGCATAATCTTGTAAACCTCAATCATGTCACCCCTCAGCTGTCATTTCTCCAAGCTAAAGAGCCCCAAGCGTTTTAATCTTTCTTCATAGGGAAAGTGTTCCAACCTTTTTATCATTCTAATTGCCCTTTTCTGCACTATTTCCAATGCTATAATATCCTTTTTGAGGTGTGGTGACCAGAACTGTACACAGTTCTGAATATTTGAAATATTGTGCCCTGCTCTGGTTGCCTCCACTTTAAAAAAGAGTACACTAGGTCTGGAAAATTTACTGAAAAGGGCAACCAAACTGATAAGATTTCTTAGGTTTCACAAAAAAATTAACATTCTTGTCTTTCCTTTCTTCTCCTTAATGCACAGTTTCCCGGTTGGAAGAGCGAGAATCAGAAATGAAGAAAGAATACAATGCCCTTCATCAGCGCCACACAGAGGTATCCGACTGTTTCAGCTTTCATTGGTGTGGATAGTAGTTCGTCAGAGATGGCTTACAGACACCAGATGTGTCGTTTCAAACAGGAACAGTTAAAACAGTTAAAGCTAGGCACTTTTTTAAATGCTCTTTTTCTCGATGCAAATAGGTATACCCCTATCCTCCAGGAGTATTAACAGATCAGTAGTTATATTCTCATTGGGAAGACTCTGCAGGTCTTTGCTTCCCGATGTCTTTGCCTAGAGCAGTCGGTTGTACGAGCATGTCAAAATCGCACATTGCTCGCCTGTAAGTTCATGGGGTAAAATTGTGTGTATTGTTTACAAAGGTAAAGAACTCAAACCACGTGTGTTCCTAGGTCTCTTACACGTGCTAGTCTTTCTTTCATTTGATAGTCTATCAGAGAATCCTCGGTGTTACAGCAACATAAACATCAAAGTCACAAGTCTCTCCAGAGTTCCAGTACGTGCTCAGTTTTGATTGAAATCCATAGAGAGCACTTCTCTGAGCATCCTTTGAGAGTCAATCTGTACATAAGAATCCTAGGAATGTATTTGACTTCTGCAAACAGGGATCGCATTTGGCATGTGTAATTAGTCAAGGGCCGTGTTATCTGAATGTGTGCTTGTTTCTCTGTTTACTGTAACACTGATGCAGAGACCTCTCTGTTGTTTCTGTTAAGGTTTGCTCCTTTACTTATGGATTATGGTCGCATCTCGCAGGGCTCTTTTTGTAGCAGGAGCTCCTTTGCATATTAGGCCACACACCCCTGATGTAGCCAATCCTCCAAGATCTTACAGTAGCTCAGTCTTTTTTAAATAACTCCCCCACACACACACACACACATTTCAAAATATACTATGCTTTATGTTCTCTCCCCACAACCTGTCCCAAGTCCCGTGTTCCACACAGGAGCAGGCAGAGACCCTTACACACAACCACGTATGCATAACCAGTTGTATTCTCCTGAGCCAATCAGGTGTTTGGTCCAGGAGGCAGCCGGCTGGGCTGGGGCTACCCCAGGCAGTAGTTTAATTCCAGCTGTTTGGATAGCACTCAGTGGTGCAGTTAGGTAATTTTGAATCTGGATTTAATGGTCACAACCAGTGTTCCCTCTAAGCTGAGTTAGTGTGAGCCAGCTCACAGTTTTTTAGTCTCCGGCTCACACATTGTTGTCTTAGCTCAGGAAGGATGGCTCCAGAGCAAACCAATTCATGCAGCAGCCAAATCGCTCGCTCGCGGCTTTAATGCCAGGAGCTCACAAAGTAGAATTTTTGCTCACAGGACTCCGCAGCTTAGAGGGAACACTGGTCACAACCAATGTTCCCTCTAAGCTGTGGAGCCCTGTGGGCAAAAATTCTACTTTGTGAGCTACTGGCATTAAAGTTGTGAGCGAGCAGTTTGGCTACTGCATAAATGAGTCTGCTCTGGAGCCCTCCTTCCTGAGCGAAGACAAAAATGTGTGAGCTGGAGGCTAAAAAACTGAGCTAGCTCACACTAACTCAGCTTAGAGGGAACACTGGTCACAACCCCCCTCTGCAGTCATTATTAATGTCAGGACTTCTAGGAGCTCCAATTCCCAGAAGGAAGGGGAGGAATAAAGGTGGAGGTGAACTGGGTAGAGCTTGGCCATAGCCATAAACATCACTGCCCGTGACTTGTGCTCTTCCGGCTTCACTACGCTCAGCTATCCTAAGTTCTTCTTTCTCAAATGCTTCCACCTAGTGTCCCTCCCTAGTCCTTCAGCCTGGAATCACTTCCCAAAGCATGTGCGAGATGCCGTCTGGCTCGTGTTCTTCAAGGTACCATCTACATGTGCAGCAGAATGAGGTGGCAGAGTTTCAGGGTGGTAGAACGGACTGTACCATTTCACAGATGGCCTCTTCCCGACCTCCCCTGCATTAATAGTAGCAGCCATAATAGCCTAAACTAGCCTGATTTCATCAGCGCTTGGAAGTTGCTCAGGGTTGACCCTGGGTGGTCCTTGGATGGGAGACTGCCAAGGAAGGCCAGGGTTTCTATGCCTTGATAGCAGTTCAGAGGTCAGTAGCAGTCAGTTGCAACTCAGCTGCCTCTTTCACCTTTACTACATTAACAATTCCCTGAAAATGGAAACCGGTGTCGCATGCAAAGAGCAAGGCCCTGATAACGCTAACTTCGTTGTTTTTCCAGTTGCAAGGAGTATTGACATGGGGAACGTTAGAAATGTGATTCTGCCCACCTGCAGTCTGAGCTGGGCTCCTGCTGGCCTCCTTCAAGTCAATGTTTGTCCACTGGAGTTCCGCTGGGCGGGACTCCTGATCCGAGGAAGGTTCTTCCGGGTCAGCGGTGAGCTTTTGGTCTGAAACAGAGCCAGCTTCTTCAGGAGGGGCGGGGGCAGGATTAGCAATTGGGTCTGCCCAGGAGCCCGCTGCCTGGTCGGCCTCATCGTTTCCGTCACCACCGTTGGCAATGCTAGGAAGGCAAGTGTCGGCGATGGCGAAGGGCCCCTCAGTGTCCGATAGAAGATCTCCGTCACTCTGGAAGACTGACCCACTTTGCTCCTTGATATTATCCATGAAAAAGCAGCCAGCGCTTGGGGGAGGGGGAAGAAAAGAAGGAAAACCTTATATTGAATCTAAGGCCTTAGATATGTGGAGGAGAAACTCTCTACAATGGGAATATCCCCGGATTATTTAGCCCCCTTTTTCAGATAAACAAGCCTATGCTATTCTTAAACAAAGATTTCTCGACATCGAAAGGCAAGAACTTAGGGAATGTGCAGCCAGCAGATACTCCCCAAGTAGGCTGGGGACTTTTGACATGGGCCCTACTGCAAAATATCTGTTAAGTTTAACAGCCCCACACCATCGCAGAGCATACCTGCAAGGACTATTGACATGGGTAACATTAGAAATGTGATTCTGCCCGTCCGCAGTCTGAGCTGGTGTGGCCCCTTCTTCTGCCTTGGGATTCCGTTTTACCACCTCCATCTGCTGTGTGAAGCAGGGTGTCTCTGCGTGTGGTTGCCCGATCGTGCAGTGTCATTCATAACTGGATCGACTTGTCTGCACCATAAAATCCAGTGATGAATGATTGCTGTCATGCCGTGATATCCAACAATTTGTGGATGCAGCCTGGGTCCCAGTTCTTCCTCACAGCTCTTCTTTTCCAAGCAGCCTTTTGCACAACCTCTTTATTTTCAGCTCCACTAAAACAAAGCCTTATGTATGTATAACGGCAAAGACTGCCTGTTCTCCCATTCCCCACTGCCATTATCTCTCGCTCTCTCTCCTTTCCTTGTCTTCCTTGTTTCAGAGGGTATGCTCCTTGGGGCCAGGACCTGTTATCTGTGAATTTTGCCAAGCACCTTGATGGCGCAGCTCAAAGAGGAGTAATTTCTCTTCCGTTCTCTTGTTTTCACAGATGATCCAGACCTACGTGGAACACATTGAGCGTTCCAAGATGCAGCAGGTGGCAGGGAATAGTCAAAATGAGGGTGGTCTTCCCGGGAGAAGGTAGGGGTGCGTTCTTGGTTTGTGCTTGCAGGCATTTTGGGCTTGTGGTGTGTGTGTGCTGTGTTGACCCAGTTCCCGGCTGGCCCTTCCCGGTGCTTTTTCCAAAATAAAAAAAATGACCGAAAGGAGTCCCAACCGGTGTTTTTGCAGCTGGCTTCATCTTACGTGTTCTCCCATTGGCTGCCTTGCCCTTATTCTGTCTGCAGTCTCTCTCCCAGGCCAGGCAGGAGGCTGTTTGTAGATGTTCAGTCTCAGCTACCTGGAAACCTGCTGCTACTGGCAGGAGAATTGAGGAGAAGAGCAATGTTCCCTCTAAGCTGTGGAGCCTTGTGAGCAAAAATTCTACTTTGTGAGCTCCTGGCATTAAAGTTGTGTGCAAGTGATTTTGCTGCTGCATAAATCAGTTTGCTCTGGAGCCCTCCTTCCTGAGCAAAGACAAAAATCTGTGAGCTGGAGGCTAAAAAACTGTGAGCTAGCTCACACTAACTCAGCTTAGAGGGAACAGTGGAGAAGAGTGTGTCCGTTTCACAAGATAGCCACTTTTTCTCTGTTGCCCTTTTCCCTCTGTTACCCTTCCAAGGAAGCAGCACTCTCTAGACAGTCGCCGGTTTCCCCTGGCCCCTTTCTTTGGGGCCTTGATTGCTGGGGGCCAGGAGCGGACAGACAGCGACATCCCTTCTCGGTGCCCAGGAAAAGGGGGTGAGGGGAAACTGTCTGGTGTATGGGGAAGCTACTTTCTTGGAAGGCGAACACAGAGGAAAGGGGTCTAATCAGACGCTTAAACAACACTTAACAGGTGACTTGCAATCGAACACATGGAAAATGTCATGTCTGGACAGGTCCTGAGATGTTCTGCGGAGACCTGGAATTGGGTTCCCAGGACTTTGCTGGAAAGTTGCAGCATGATAGGTGGAGGGTGTAGGTTAAAGGGGGGAAGTGACAGGCCATTCTTAACCCTCCTCACACACCCTCCCTGCAGGTTCCTTCCCCCTAGAGATGTACAATTTCCGGAAATTTTGAAGCTTGGAAAAAAACCCGTTTTTCCCCAGTTTTTTTCCCAGGAAAAAACGGAAATTTTCGGAAAAATTGGGAAAAATGCTACATTAGCATTTCTTTTGTCTTTTCTAGATTGAAAGTCATCCTGTTACTTTAGGAACATAAAATATGACTATGGACATTTTTACATGGCATGAAATTATCATAACTAGCATATTAAAAATATAGTGTATCCAAACAATTATTACAAACAGAATACCCACCCACATGGAAAAACAAAACTGAAACCTTTTTGTTTTCTTCTGACAATCGCACCTCTTAAAGGAAGAAATGCATCTTGTTCTTGCATTGGAGAGTTCAGTTTGTAACCTAGGACTTGCTTGTCCTCAGTGCACAGAAATTAGATCAATCTGATACCATATATATATATATTTTAGAAATGATTTGGAAAATATTTGAACACCTTGTCTTAAAATATTTTATTCATCATGTTAAAATGAAACGTTCCATAATCAATTTCTTTTCTTTTCTTTTTTCAATTTTTCCATTTTTTCGGAAAAAAACCAAAAAGGCTTTAAGAAAAAAACGGGGGGGAAATGGTTTCCCCCCGAATTTTTCCAGTTTTTTTCCGGGCCTTCACATCTCTACTTCCCCCTGCTGCTTGCACCCCAGCTGGCAAGAGAAGTTCCCCTCCTTCACACTACATCTCTGTTTACCCCCTCTTCCCACAGCTTTGCATCAAGACCCAGGTTTCCATCAAATGCCATCAGTCTGGGTACTGCCCCTTAACCCCTGAAATGTCCTCTGGAGTGGACCACTGGCCAAGCTGCTCCTAGCCATCTGCTTCCCTAGAGAATCTTATTTCTCTGTGTTCTCCTCCCCCCTCCTTTGCATAGAAGCTTGGCTTTGAATGGCCAGAGGACCTGTCCCTCATCCCCAGAGTGTTGTGTAGATTGGCCCTGGATGGGGAGCAAATCAGTAATGAGAACAGGGATTGTTCTAAGCTGTAAAATTTCCTTCCCCTGTTTTCGGACAACTGTGATCTTTAGGCAGTTGTGTAAGGAGGGCGATATGGATGGGATACATCTGGAATATATGTCTGGTGGCCCAGCTGATGGGTGAGATATAGGAGAACTTGGCAACACCTGGGGTTTTTTTGTACTCCGTGCTGGACAAATTCGTTCTTGTGCTGCTGGGCACTGGTATGTTGTTATCCCCTTGAGACAAAGAAGAGGTGCCACACTGCTGGCTATTTTTGGGCAGGAACGCACAGAAACGGAGTTCCGGCTGGCTCCCAAGTTGGCCACACCCAGCAGGAACTCATTAGCATAATAGGCACCCAACAGCAGAAACGCATTAGGATTGGCTACATTAGAGGTGTGTGGCCTAACATGCAAAGGAGTTCCTGCTACAAAAAAAGCCCTGGGTTTTGACCACAAACAAGGTCAACAGCATAAGAAGCAAAAAGTGGGTGTGGCTGGATGACCACACTTCTGGTAACATGGGTGTGTGGCCTGATATGCTAATGAGCTGTGCTGTCAGGGCTGTGGCCTAATATGCTAATGAGTTTCTGCTATTAGGTGTGGCCTATTATGCTAATGAGTTCCTGCTGGGCTTTTTCTACAAAAAGAGCCCTGCACACTGCACAGGTCTTTGGCAAAGGTGAGGGCATCCTCCATGAGTGTCCCATGGTGCGGGGGTTTTATCCTTCATTCCAAGCCGTACCTTGTGCATATATGACTTCAGAACCCCACCATGTGCATCTTTCTTGTGCTCCCCCCTCTACATTTATCTTTCTGCTCAGTCTTTTGGAGAGGTGTGTGCATTTTTGTGCTGTTAGATGCACCATGGTGTACGTATGGGACGCAGGGCTATTTTGGGGCAGGAACGCACAGGAACGGAGTTCTGGCTGGCTCCTGAGTTGACCACGCCCAGCAGGAGCTCATTAGCATAACAGGCCACACCCAACAGCAGAAACTCATTAGGATTGGCTACATTAGGGATGTGTGGCCTAACATGCAAAGGAGTTCCTGCTACAAAAAAAGCCCTGGTTTTGACAACAAACAAGGTCAACAGAATAAGAAGCAAAAGGTGGGTGTGGCTGGATGACCACACTTCTGGTAACACGGGGGTGTGGCTTAATATGCTAATGAGCTGTACTATCAGGGGTGTGGCCTAATATGCCAAAGAGTTTCTGCTCTTGGGTGTGGCCTATTATGCTAATGATGTCCTGCTGGGCTTTTTCTACAAAAAGAGTCCTGACGTCGGGACGCAGTGTGCCTCACATACTCTCAAGATGTTTGTTGCGCTTTTTGTATGGGTGGGTGGGATGTGTGCTTTTCTGGCTTCTATCCTTGCCCATCCTTGCCCCGAATCTAGACGTTATATGTCAGTTTAGTCTATGTATTTGAGCAGATAATTGGGTTGCTCCTTGTGAGAGCCAGTTTGGTGTAGTGGTTAAGTGCGCGGACTCTAATCTGGGAGAACCGGGTTTGATTCCCCACTCCTCCACTTGCAGCTGCTGGATGACCTTGGGCAAGCCATAGTTCTG